AAGTCAGGTGGGGGATGCTGTTTTGATTATTGGTGTGTTTTGTGGCAAGCTGTAGCTCGCTGGTTTCAAACGTGTTAGACCCGAATTATAATGATAATAGTAATAATAATAATATAGTTAATTATGTCCGTTGAGGCGCAGGGTTTTTAAAAGGATAGAATAATAATATTAACTTAGGCTATATATGTGTATAAATAAATTACATATATATATATTATATTATATATATGTATATATATATATATATATATGTACATATATATATATATAATATTGTCAGCATATTTGAAGTCAAATGGGCAGACTTCCATCATCATAATTCTATTTGCCTTTAGTTAAGGGGCCCCTCCCTGCAGTGGGCCTTGGGTAAACAGTACCCTCCCTCTCTCTCCCAGTCAGACCCCCATGTGTACATTTATATAATGTGAGGTCCAGGCCAAGGAGTGAGGACCCATACCAAACTCCCAGGAAACCACCAGTACTAATTAACAAGTTTTGTTTTCCAACAGAATCCTGTTGACGATCTGGCTGAGAGTACTTCACAAAGTCCTCCAGCAGCTGGCAGAACCTGGTCTCTAAACTGGAACCATCTTTGAAGGACCAATCAGATATTTGACGTCATCTGTGAAGTGTCACACAGCTCACAATTGATCAGCCACACCTGCAAATAAGTTAAATATATATATATATTGAAAAACAAATCACAAACTCAATGGGTAAAAATGTGAAATAAACACGGAGGGTGGAAACCTGGGGTAGTTTCATGGATATGTAGGTATATGTTCGGGGCTTCAAGTTTCACAGTAAATTTAAAATTATAATTATTATTTAGACAAAACACACACACTCTTCTAGGAATGTTAATGTAATGGTGATACAGAGTTCCTCATTAATTATTAAAGTAGAATGAAAACGATGAACATTTTGGTTCTTTCTCATTTAAATTAAACACTAAAACATACATGCACACACAGATCTGCAGAGTTCGGCTCCAGTTGGACTGAGGATCTGAAGAGGATTAAAGAGAGGATCGGGGGACAGAACGAGGACGCGAACAGATTCTGTAAATCCCATACACATCCGCTCCGCAGCTGAAATCATGGAGCCGTTCATACATGGTCGACTGGTACACACGGGCAAACATCTGTGTTGGGCAGCGCTCCTGTGTTTGATCACAGCAGCCTGCTGAAGTGTCTGATTAGGCCCCTGTTTGACCAGAGGGAGGCAGCGGCCAATCAACACACAGCTGGGACCAGCCATGATCTGCTAGGAGGAGGTTGGTCTGTCCAGCTGTAAACTGTCCACAGGACTAGTTAGCACAAATCATGAGGGGCACAGACCATAGCTAGTACCCAGCTGGTACATCTTCCTTTTCCATGTGTTCAGTCCTCAGTCTTCAACCAATCCTTAAAGTTTCTCTTGTACTGAACAAAGATATATATTCTAAGTATAAAGTGTAAACACTGTGTACAAAACTTCAACTTGATTTCCAACCTGAACAAGTCTGGATTTGCAGCTGCAGCAGGCCACATGTGAAAAAAATAAATAAATAAATCACACAACCATTTCTGTCATTGCCATTTTGGTCTGCACATCTGCCATTTCGTCATTGCCATTTTGGTCTGCACATCTGTTGCTAATGAAATTGTCAGCATTATGAATTAATGAGTAGACAGCTGACACTGACTGATGATGGCACTGAAATAGATGCATGGACGTGGATCTGAAATTAGATCTGATTTCCTGAAACACTACGACTTTTCTGCAATAAAACAAACAATGACAATCAGCTTCCTGTTGGCAGCTCACTCCAGGAACTGAATCTGATTAGTCACGAAGCAGCTGTGTGAATTACTACCATTAATCATGATTAATCCAACTAACCACACCTGTTATCAAATGTTTTAAGTGTTGGTGAAACAAATTTATGTCAACGAAAACATGCAAATTAAGAGCGAGGACGTGGACTGACTCTGGCGTTATTAGATAAACGGCCTGTGCGTTAAAAGTCGCTAACATTTTTACTTCAATAAATTTCACAAATTAGTTAATTTGATTAGGGTGTCACCTTTGACCTTATATATAAAGGTAATTAGGTAATTAATCCACAAACATTTTTATGATGTTACAGAAGAGGTGGTAAAAAAAAAAAGATTTCAGAACCTTGATCATGACACAGCTCAGGTCAGGACACCAGGGCCTCGTTGGCGCAGTAGGCAGCGCGTCAGTCTCATAATCTGAAGGTCGTGAGTTCGAGCCTCACACGGGGCAACACTTTTAAGGTGGGTTCCATAGTGTAGCAGTTAGCATGCTAGCCTCAGAGAGTCTTGGGTTTGATTCCCAGAAGAGCCACATCGTTGACGCCTGCAGGAGGAGGGGGGCAGCACATCTGCTGCTAACACAACACATTCCCAAATATGGGATAAATAAAGACAAAATTATTATTATTACAAATGTTTGATGTATCAATCTGCCAAATAAACAACAATGAACTAAACATTAAATTCAATTGTTATTATTTTATATTTAATCAATAAATGAATTATAATATCATAGATTTTCCATGTGGTTTGTTTTCTTGAAACTTAAATTCATTCGAAAAAAACAAAATATAAAGAATGATTTTCCTGTAAACCCAGTGTGATGAGAGAAAGCAAAAGCAAACATTAGTTTTTGGAACCCATAAAGGCCTAAAGGAGTGGGGTCTGAAAGTCTAAGTGTGTATTGTCTGAATGGGCTCTAGATGAAGGGTCCTGGCTGTGGAGGGTGGGGGCAGGCGGGGTGTGCTGGGGTGGGGGTATAATGGCTTCTCCTTCACTGCCTCTTTGAGGACGGACTGCCGTCTAGCAGCTGAGTCCCGATGTGTCCCTGAAGTTCTGAGCTCAGCAGAGACAGACAGTCTGTCTGTGTCAGCAGGCGCTGCCCCACTCCCAGAAAAGACCCCTCACTTTGAGTCGTGTCTGGACAGACCCTTTCACAGCCCCATCACCACTGCCTTGTTCCTATTTAACCTCTACACACACCTACGTCCATGCCAAGATGCCACTTTGTTCACACGGTCTGGCTTTCTTTTTCAGTGACACTAGCACTGCCCCCTCCCCCCAACACACACACACACACACACTCTGTTGTTATGTTATTTTTTGCTCCCATTGTTTTTTGTTTTTTTGTAACCAGCCTCGCTCTCTTCAGGCAGCTCCAAATAAATGATTGGGTGTCATCTGCGTAAAAAGAAAACATGAACTCATACTCCTGTATCCGACTCTTCTCTGTAGTCACAGTAAAATACAACCGTGTTCCATTTTTGTAACCGAGTGTTGAATCTTTTCAACGCCAAGGTCGTCGTAGTCGGTTTTCGTCATGACTCACCGCGGCGGCGGCGGCAGCAGTTAGAAAGCTAAGCTAATGACTGATAGAAATCTCTTTGTGTTGCTTTTGAAATGAACCAGGTTTGT